ATATATATCCCTTCTATTACATATACCGACTCAATCATTTGAATTTGTTACCACATTACACATAAATTTCCAAAGGTCGCCGCCTGCATTTACTTTGTCCAGCGCAGAACCCTTTTATTTTTATTCAAAACCAAAATTGCCAAACAATCCCTTAAACCCTACCATATATAAAGTCCACCCACCACACGTCCCCTGTTTCCCCTCACCATAGCCCGGCCACAGGCAGCCATGGTCGACTAGAATTTCAAATAATCCTTCCAATTTCACCGCCGAATAGATGCTGGTCTCCTTAGTTCTCGCTCTATTCCTACCATGCGCCGCCATGGCCGCCGTCTTCCTGGTCTACGTCTGCCTGCTCTTCTACTCGGCGGGCGTCGAGAGCCGCAATTTGCCGGTCAAACGCCGCCCGGAGACGGGGCTGTCGGCGTCCGATCTCGAGAGTCTGCCGACAATCGCCGGAAAAGAGCTGGCGGTGGGCGGGGAGTGTGCGGTGTGTTTGGACGAGATCGAGGGCGAGCAGGCGGCGAGGGTTTTGCCGGGGTGCAGGCACGGATTCCATCTACAATGCGCCGACGCGTGGCTCTCCAGGAACTCAATCTGCCCCGTCTGCAGGGGAACGGTTGGGCCTCACCTGCTGGGCCCATTACAGATCAGCCCATGCTGATATCTGAATGACAAGTGGGGGTAAATTAGGAATTTGGGGGATGGTGTTCAATTTTTGTGGCCTTGTGGGCAAATCTTTATTATTTTTCACTCAAATATTAATGGTGAGGATTGAGGAGGGTGGTATTAAGATTCTTTTTATTCTTTGGTTATCTTTTTTTTTTTCATTATTATTATTATTTCTCATAGATTTTTTTTCATTTCTCAAAATATCGGCTACAAATATTTTTTTTAACATATTATTTCAATTTATTAGTGTTGTTTTTGGTATTAAATAGTATGAAAATCATAAAGATATTAATTAAACAAATGAAAAATTGTGATTATTAGGGAAGTGAGACATGGCTTACTTTAAAATTCTGGTGAAGACGTACTTTATAGTTATTTCTTCTTTTTCTCCTCTTTTCCTCCGATCCTCCTCTCAAACTATGGACTTGTATTATAAGTTTATAACTATTAATAGATGTTCTTAAAATGGAAAACAAATAACTGGAGGTAGCGTAGGAAATCAGGTGCCATTATAATCGCCTCAATAAACAAACATTTGTGTTCAAACAGTTGTAATCGAATTCCTACACTTTTTTTTTTATATTGTTTTCGGAAATGTACTATAATTGATGGAGCTAGCTAAAGTGCTAGAATCACAAATAAAGTGAGAATCAAATAAACGATAGAGGGAAAGGAACCGCAGGAAAATTTCATTCCAATGTTTG